AACCTCATGAGGAAGAAGTTGAAATGATCAATCTGGGAGGTGAAGATGATAAGAAGGAAGTTAAAGTGGGCACTGCCATAAAAGGAGATGAGAGAATGAGGTTATTTAAGCTTTTGACCGACTATGTTGATATCTTTGCATGGACATATCAAGACATGCCTGGGTTAGATTCCAACATAGTTGAGCATCGATTGCCATTAATACCTGAGTATCCACCAATCAAGCAAAAGTTGAGGCGCATGAAACCAGAAGTTTTCTTAAAGATCAAAGAAGAAGTCAAGAAACAACTGGATGCAGGGTTCCTTGCAGTAGCCAAATACCCTCAATGGGTTGCCAATATAGTACCAGTTCCAAAGAAAGATGGAAAAGTCAGAATGTGTGTGGACTACCGAGACCTTAATAGGGCTAGTCCTAAAGATGATTTTCCACTACCTCATATAGACATTCTGGTAGATAACACTGCCCAACATGCTTTCTTCTCCTTTATGGATGGATTTTCAGGGTACAATCAAATTAAGATGGCTTCGGAAGACATGGAAAAAACCACATTCATTACATCCTGGGGAACATTCTGTTACAAGGTAATGCCATTTGGGTTGAAGAATGATGGAGCAACATATCAACGAGCAATGGTGACTTTGTTCCACGACATGATGCACAAAGAAATAGAGGTATATGTTGATGATATGATTGCTAAGTCGAGAACAGGGGCAGAACACATCACTAACCTACAAAAATTGTTTGAGCGCTTGAGAAAATATAAGCTCCGATTGAATCCCGCTAAGTGTACTTTTGGAGTAAAATCAGGCAAATTTTTGGGATTTGTGGTTAGTGAAAAAGGGATAGAAGTAGATCCCGACAAAGTGCGAGCAATCCTAGAAATGCCAGCCCCTAGCACAGAAAAAGAAGTTTGTGGGTTCTTGGGAAGATTGAATTACATTACCAGATTTATATCTCAATTAACTGCTACTTGTAACCCAATTTTCAAATTATTGCGCAAAAGTCAACCAATGGTGTGGAATGAAGATTGTCAAAAGGCTTTTGAAAAGATTAAGCAATACTTGCAAGAGCCGCCGATCTTAGTACCACTGGTACCAGGGAGACCTCTCATACTATATATGTCTGTGCTTGATGAATCTATGGGTTGTGTATTGGGGCAACATGATGCTTCTGGGAAGAAAGAGCAAGCAATTTATTATTTGAGCAAGAAGTTTACAGATTGTGAGATGAGGTACTCCTTATTAGAGCGAATATGTTGTGCATTGGCTTGGGTTGCTCGACGATTGAGGCAATACATGTTAAGCCATACTACATGGTTAGTATCTAAAATGGATCCAATCAAATACATATTCGAGAAGCCTACTCTCACTGGTCAGATTGCTCGTTGGCAAATGTTGTTGTCAGAATACGATATTATTTATGTCACTCAGAAAGCTGTCAAGGGTAGTGCATTAGCAGAATATCTGGCTCATCAACCCATAGAAGATTACCAATCAATGCAATGCGAATTTCCAGATGAAGACATAATGACATTATTTGATGAGGAAGAATCCATAAACGAAGAAAAATGGACATTGTTGTTTGATAGAGCTTCTAATGCACTGGGGCATGGAATTGGGGCAGTGTTAATTTCCCTAAAGAATCAGTTCATCCCGTTTACTGCAAGGTTGGGTTTTGATTGCACTAATAATGTGGAAGAATATGAAGCGTGTGCAATGGGGATTGTAGCAGCCCTAGAGTTCAAGGCTAAAGTGTTGGAGGTATATGGAGACTCAGCATTAGTTGTTCATCAACTCAAGGGTGAATGGGAGACTCGAGATGCAAAGTTAATCCCATATCACTCGTACATCAAGGGGTTGATGGAACAATTTGAAGAAATCACTTTCCAACATATCCCCCGCGAGGATAACCAATTAGCAGACGCTTTGGCCACTTTGTCTTCAATGTTTAAGATAAGTCAAGGAAATGAAGTGCCATTAATAAGAATACAAAATCGAGACCAACCAGCATACTGCCAAGCAGTAGAGGAGGAACCAGATGGAAGACCATGGTTCTATGATATAAAGCGCTACATGAAAGATAAAGAGTATCCCCCTAGTGCTTCAGAAAATGATAAAAAGACATTGAGGAGACTAGCAATGGGATTCTTCTTAAATGGTGATGTGCTTTATAAGAGAAACCATGACATGGTACTGCTCAGATGTGTTGAGGCTATTGAAGCCAAGAAAATAGTGGAAGAAGTTCATGAAGGCTCATTCGGAACACACATGAATGGGCATGCAATGGTAAGAAAAATTTTAAGGTCTGGTTATTATTGGTTGACCATGGAATCTAATTGTTGTAACCATGTGAGGAAATGCCACAAATGTCAAACATACGCTGATAATATCCATGCACCACCAACACCTTTGAATGTTTTGGCTGCACCATGGCCATTTTCAATGTGGGGAATGGGTGTGATTGGTCCAATTGAACCAAAGGCATCAAATGGGCATCGTTTCATCCTCGTAGCTATTGACTACTTCACTAAATGGGTCGAAGCAACTTCTTATGCCAGCGTGACAAGAAATGTGGTAGTTTGATTCATCAAAAGAGATTTAATTTGTCGATACGGTCTACCAAGCCACATCATTACGGATAATGGAACCAATTTGAACAATAAAATGATGAAAGAGTTGTGTGATAATTTCAAAATTCAACACCATAATTCTTCACCATATCGCCCTAAGATGAATGGGCAATAGAAGCAACAAATAAAAATATCAAGAAAATTGTTCAAAAAATGGTGGTAACTTACAAAGATTGGCATGATATGCTGGCTTTTGCCTTGCATGGCTATCGCACTTCTGTTCGTACCTCTACTGGGGCAACCCCATATTCTCTCGTGTATGGCATGGAGGCTGTGCTCCCAATTGAGGTAGAAATACCCTTCTTAAGGGTATTGGCTGATGTCAAACTTGAGGAAGCTGAATGGGTACAAATTCGTTATGATCAATTAAATCTCATTGAAGAAAAAAGGCTAAATGCCTTATGTCATGGTCAACTATATCAAAGAAGGGTGCAAAGAGCTTATGATAAGAAAGTTCGTCCTCGAGAGTTTCAAGAAGGAGATTTGGTGCTCAAGAAGATCCTACCAAACCTAAAAGATCATAGAGGGAAATGGACTCCAAATTATGAAGGACCTTATGTGGTGAAAAAGGCATTTTCAGGAGGAGCTTTAATCCTTACCAATATGGATGGAGAGGATTTATCGCTTCTTGTAAATTCTGATGCAGTCAAGAAATATTTTGCCTAAAAAAGAGATAAATAAAAAGAAAAGGCTCGCTAGGCTGAAAACCTTAACAGGCGGCCTAGGCAAAAGTTAGAGCAACCCGCTAGGCTGAAAACCTTAAAGGGCGGTCTAGGCAAAAGTTAGGGTCAACAACAAAAAAAAATCAAAATAGAAAAGGAATCTTAAAGAGAGATGGGTACAACCATTGAAACTTGAAACTAGAGCAAATTGAAGAGTCAATGTACCAAAGTATTGAAAAAGCCGCAAACCTTCAAACAAGGGGAAGAGGTTCAACAAAGCATCTAACATTCTCGAAGCTCGTTTGATAGGATTATTAAAGATGAAGACATGAGAAGTTGGCGCTATCACCCAGAGAGCAAGAAAAAGAATCTTTTGGCTTGTTTTCATTTCCCTACTTTAGTATCTCATGATTTTGCTACTTCCCTTTCTGTATCCATTAGACTTTCTGGTGAACATAATCCCTTACTTGAAATGATAAAATAATCGTTGGTTCTCTGAATGTGTTTCACTATATGATATGCTGAAAGTAAAACATGTAATAACATCAAAAAGTATTTCTATTACAATGAATGGACTTAAAGGTCACAAAAAATATGATTGGTCATTAACCGACCCTAATAAAGGCAATAACTCATTGAAGAATGAGAACTTTGAACAACATAGTCATAAATACAAGAAGAAGAAAAGGGGTTTTCTTTCATGTTGAACGGAAGTTGACTTTAACCCTCACCGGATCTTGGAGCGCTTGTTCTCTTAAGGGGTCAAAGGTTGGAAAAATGAATACAAACTGATAATAATAAGATGTGTCTAGCACTTCATAAAATTCATTTCACATTACATATCATGCATACATCTCACCATAAGTTCATATTTCCTTCTATCATATAATCTTGGTGCGCCCCACCTTAAATCTAAAACCCTTGAAATCCTTGTTTAGGTTTATTGATCCACTGTTTTTATATTTTGAGTCCCCGTGCTCATAGCTTTCAATATTTTGGATCCCCGAGTCCACTATTTTTATATTTTTATATTTTGAGTCCCCGCGCTCATAGCTTTCAATATTTTGGATCCCCGAGTCCACTGTTTCTATACTTTGAGTCCCCGCGCTCATAACTTTCAATATTTTGGATCCCCGAGTCCACTATTTTTATATTTTGAGACCCTGCACTCATAACTTTCAATATTTTGGATCCCCGAGTCCGCTGTTTTTATATTTTGAGTCCCCGCGCTCATAGCTTTCAATATTTCGGATCCCTGAGTCCACTGTTTTTATATTTTGAGTCCCCGCGCTCATAGCTTTCAATATTTCGGATCCCCGAGTCCACTATTTTTATATTTTGAGTCCCCGCGCTCATAGCTTTCAATATTTCGGATCCCCGAGTCCACTAATTTTATATTTTGAGTCCCCGCCCTCATAGCTTTCAATATTTTGGATCCCTGATTCCACTGTTTTTGTATTTTGAGTCCCCGTGCTCATAGATTTCAATATTTTAAATTCCCGAGTCCACTATTTTCATATTTTGAGTCTCTATGCTCTTAGCTCTTAATATTTTACCCATCGAGTCCACTACTTTTAATTTAATTTAATTTATTTATCTTAGACCTTTTTTTGTCCATTGCTTTAAAGTTGTTAGATTCTCGTATCTTCCCATTTATGTTTTGAATCTCCATGACTATCTTTTCTTTTAACTTAATTCAAAGTCTTAAGTTTCATGCCACAAACAAAATTGGAATTAAGTCTTTACTTAAATTTTACTACAAAAAAATGAAAATCATTGTTTTCATATTCTTTAGTAAAACTTAAGTAAAGAGGGGCATCTGTTAACTCCAAATTTTGTCTCCCTGTATAAATAAAAAAAAGTCCAGTCCATACATATTACAAAATATAATACAAATTAAAAGCAAAAAAAAAATTAAAAGCAAAATAAAAAAAGAAAAAAAACAAACAACGAAACAAAATAGAAAAATAAGAAGAAAAGAAACGTGTTGATCGTATCTTCCGTGAACCCCAACAACTACTCCCCTTCAACTACTCTGTTGCAATTCTACCTTACCACTGCAATCAAGACACCATGCCCTGCAAAAATCTCCAAAAATTGCCTCTTAACCAGGTTCACAAGCCATACCCCTAAATTTAGGGATTTTGGCAGAGAAAGATTAATCAAAATAAAAAATCATGTGCCTATAAATACCATAATACAAGATGAACAAAGGGATGAAAAAAATTAACGGCAACAGAACAAAGAAACCACATAGCTGGGATATAATCTGAAAGAAAAAACTCAAACAAGGAGCACAAGCAGGATCCTCAAAATTGTGGTATCATCTTCACCCACTATTTTTTTTTGTACATATAGTAATACTTGTGTGCGCCTCATTGATTTTTTTTTTATTATTATTTGCGAGTGAAGACGAATAAAAAGAAAATACTAACCTCAACTATTTGTTGTCCGTACTGATTTCCAGCAACCATAGTGTGTTCTTCCTTTTTTTTTCTTTTTTTCTTTTCTCTCTCGCTCACTTTGCCACCTCTTTTTCGCGACCTGTGAGTCTATGGCCAAAACGCAAGGACCACCGTGAGCCACCGCCATCGAAAATGATTTTCGACGGCGGTGTTTGCTTCTTCTTCCTTCCCCAAACAAATCCCCACAAGAATCACCGTGGGTCACCTTCAAAAATGATTTCCAACGGTAACCCCCTTCGAGTTACTTTCTTTCACTGCTGTTCTCCCTTTCCGCTTCACTTGTTAGGCCAGCCGCGATGGTATCGTGTGTTGATCTTCTTCCGGTTAGCACCAACGCATAGTCTGCGGAGAGAAATTGGAGAGCTCCTCTCATAACCCTAATGTAAGGATTTCTGCTGGTTTTCCCCAATTACTGTTTCTGTTTCACGAATTTAGGTTATTCTTTTTCTTCCTTTTTATTTTTTTATGTAAGCCAAGTCCATTTGATGTGTTATTCTTTAGATGGCCAGATTTTTTGTTTTGTTCTAAGTGCTTTCAACTCACGTATGGGCCTAGCCCATTTATTTATTTTTCTGAAGAAAATAAGGTTTTAGGAGTATGATTTACAATATGTTAAATTTATGTAATTGAGGCTAATAATTATATAAAAAATTAAGGCAATTGATTTTATTTGATTATGTAAAGTTATTATATGTTGAATTTTCACACAATAATGATAATAATGAGAATGATAAAAATTAGTAACTATTCCACAAAATATTGAGAATAATATCTTTTATGAATATTGACAATGTATATATTATTCAAAAAAAGGATTACTTGAATGTACATTCTCTTAATCTTAGGCCTAATATATGCAAGTTGTAACAATTTGTCATCTAGAAAATGTTATCTAAATTTAACATATATAATCAATAATTAGAATATTATAATTTTTTTATAAAATTATTTGAAGTCATTATTTAAATATTTTAGTGGCAAAATAGATAATTAGATGAGACATCTTTTTAATCTATGAGTTTAAGATACAAGTTGAGACAACTTGATATCTTTAAATTTTACTCTAATAAAAAAAATATCAAATCAAGTCTTTTTTAAATATATACTATAATAATTTTTTTATTTATTAATAATATCTATTCTTTATAATAATAATAGTAACAAGATTATGAAACATTTCCTTAATCTTAGATAATAGTATTTATTATTTTAACAAAATTAGTTTAATTGACTTATTTGATTAAGTTGTTTCTTAATATAAATGTGTTAGATAATAATTATTGTGATATTCTCTTATCAATATTGACATTAATAATATCTATCATTTAAAAAAAGATTATAGGGATGTGATTCTCTTAATTTTAGGGCTTAAAGGTGCAAATTGTGACAATTTGTTATCTTAAAGTTCTTCTTATTTAAATTCAAAATATAATATAAAAAGTATTATCACATCTTTTAAATAAAAATATTTGAAGATTTTATTGAAAAAATAGTTTATTAGATGTAATATCTTTTTAACATTTAAATTTAAAATACAAGTTGTGATAATTTGATATCTTTAATTTTCCTAAAAATAAAAATAAAAATATCTAACCAAAATATTTTTAAATATGTACCACAATATTAACAATAATAATGCTTTTTTTAAATAATTAAATATCTGGCTTTGGTGTACACCTCTGTCAATTTTTATATTTTGGGATGTATGAGCTGTGACAGTTCAAAAATCCTAACCTTTTTAAAAGAAAAATAATAAACAAATTAATAAAAAAATTCCAACACACAAATATTTTCTACCAAAGAACTACGTGACTCTGATTCTTCATTACGCATGGAGATACGTAGGAGCAGGAAATAACTCCTGTCGAGCCAAAAAATAAAAATAACAATATTATCTCATTTTTAATAATAATAATATAAATAATTTTAGTACTCATTAAAATAAAATAAAGACATTTGTTAAACAATATATTTGATTATTATTGTTAATTCATATTAATGTGGGGTGAGGTAAATATTTTATAAGTTATAATAAATTTGCTTAATTAATTAAAGGTAATCGTCTTAAGGCGAACGTTGTAAGGTGCTAATACCTTCCTTACACGTAATCGACTTCCGAACCCAAAAATCTAATTTTCGTAGACTATTTTCTAATTTATGGTTTTTCCAATGTTTTTCCGTAAAAAACAACATTGGTGGCGACTCCATATTTTTCAACCAATTTTTCGCCGTCCCGTCACTATATCGGTTGCGACACTTCTCTAAAAGGATTTCCTCTTAAAAGAAGTTTTCCTCAACAATTATTGCTAAACCTTTATGCATAGTTGGATCAAGTTATCTAGATCCCTATATAAAAAAGTTTAACTTTATCCCAATTGGAGAAAGAGATACACATTATAAAGGGGGTTGAATAGTGTATATCAAAAACTCATGCTTTTTAATGTGCAATGAAATGGAAAAAAGCTGTAATAGACGAAGTAATGGAAAACAACAGATGAAGTGACACAAGTATTTTATATTGGTTTGTCTCAAACACAGAGACTATATCTAGTTCTCAATCCAACCAGATTGAGTTCTACTATCTTTCACAAGACACAAATATTCTTTACACAAGCCATTTCTGGCTCAACCTAAGTAGTCTTTGACTTGCCTCTCCAAGCAAATACTCAAGTATTCTTTCAACAAGCCTTTCTAGGCTTAAAACCATGTATTCTTTCTACAAACCTCTTTAGGCTAAACACCAAGTATTCCTTTGCACAAGCTTCTCCAGGCTCAAAATCAACTATTCTTTCTATAAGCCTTTTCAGGCTAAACACAAAGTATTCTTTCCACAAGTCTCTCCAAACTCAACCCTTATAAATAAAATTGACAAGAGATACAACTATAGTTTCGTCTCTTCTATGTGATGCTATAAAAATACAACACAAATTTAACTACAAAGAACTATATACAAGATTTATAATAAAGAGCTTATTTATAGTGGTTCAACTTTGTTCGTTGTGTATATGATCAATGAAAACTACTCAGCGGATGTTGATCTTTTATGTACAACGCTTTTTCTTCCTTTTCACAACCGAGATCGCAACGGGACGACAAAAATAAAATAAAAATATAAAGTCGCCACCAATGTTTATTTTTACGGAAAAAAAATTAGAAAAACCACAAAATAGAAAATGGTATACAAAAATCAAAGTTTTGAGTTCGGGAGTCGGTTACGTGTAAGGAAGGTATTAGCATCTTATTACGTTCATCCTAGGACGATTACCTTTAATTAATTAAACAAATTATTTATAACTTATAAAATATTTATCTCACCCTAAATTAATCAAAATTAACTACAATGATCAAATGTATTTTATTTAACTAATGTATTTATTTTAAAAAATTAAAATTATCATTATTGTTATATAAAAAAGAAAGATAATATTATTTTTTATTTTTTTGACTCGACAAAATTTATTTCCTGTTCCTATGTATCTTAATGTGCAATGGAGAACCAGAGTCATGTAGTTCTTTTGTAGAAAATACTTGCGTGTTGATATATTTTTTAATTCAATTTTAATTTTTATTAAATTTAGGATTCTTGAATTGTTTCAACTCATTCATCCTAAAATATAAAATTGACTAAGATGTACACCAAAGCAAATTCAATAAAATATTTAATTTTGACTATAATTATTGTTATCGATATTATTATTATTATGATATATACTTAAAAGATTTTTTGGTTGGATATTTTTATTTTGGAGAAAAAAATTAAAGATATCAAGTTGTCACAACTTGTATATTAAATTCAAAGATTAAAAAGATGTCACATATAATTAATCATTCCTCCAATAAAATCTTCGATATAATGACTTCAAATATTTATATTGAATATTGTGATAATATTTTTTTGATATTTAATTATATTTTAAATTTAATTAATAAGGACTTTAAGATAACAAATTGTGACAACTTACACCTTTAAGCTCTAGAATCAAGAGAATGTCACATTCATTTTTTTAAAATGATAGATATTATTAATATTAATGTTGTTGAAGAATCCCATATTTATTATTATTATTATTGATATTATTATTACTATTACTATTATTGTTATAATTATAGTTATAATAATAATTATCCTTACCAGCAAGGAAAAGAAAAAGGAAGAAAAAGTAAATATTATATGAAGGGTCTGATTACTTTCTTAAAAAAAAATATTTGTTAAATGGGCTTAGCCCATATGCTTGGCCCAAAATGAAAAGAAAAGATGTTAAGTCAAACGAAATAATTTCCAGTAAAATTTTGAATGAGACAGATATAATTCATATTGTTATCTCTAACAAATGTGTTAGTGTTTCAGATAAAAATATAAGTACAGGCAAGTTGAAGAATAAAGAATATTCATGTACCACTTTCTACACCATGACCAAGAATTATGAGCTAAGCACCAGATAAAGGTTGATCAAAAGAAGAAAATACATCAGATGAAGAGATCAAACGAAAACAGGCTCAACATAAGAAGGAAATTAGTAAAGCCTCAGATGATACAAAACCACAAACGATAGACAAACCCAAACCAAAGAATCCTAGACGGAGTCAAGAGCCTGCATAGCTAACCAGACGAAGACTCAAACAAACAGACGAAAATTAAGAATGCTAGATTGCGTCTGAAGTCACAACGAGAAGAACTACCTAGCATCCACACTCTCAGAAGAACACGTGAAGTCATCAAAATAAAAGAAGAGAGAAAATAAAAATGGACGAGCGTTTATCCACAAGTCAAAGCTACATGTGTCAAAATAAGTACACCTACTAGTTAGTAAAAGACAACGGCTCTGCAGCTACAATGTCAAGGAAAGTACAGAGATGTCTATGTCATAATTGATGCCAGACATAGAAGTAAACAAATGGTATAAAAGACTTCGTGAAACGCAGATTCAGCAAGCAAACATTTAATGCAAGATCAAATGCATTAAATGATCTACGAAGCCTGGACAAACCAAAAAGAGAATCAGATGATGGCCACTCAAGCATCAAGATCAGGTCCAATCACAGACGGAAGAACATTCAACAAATACTAGATGAGGCCTACTACAAGTCGAGACATTGAAGCATTAGATGAAAAGCCAAAACAAGGCCAAACCTAGAAAAATAAAGAGATGGGTTAAACATCGGATGAAACCAGATGGTCAACTCTGATAAAAGAACAATCAAGACAAGGCACATCATGAGAACCAGACAAATCAAATTGAAAGAGACAAAGTACAATATGTGCACCAGACGACTATGAGTCCAATATTAAATGAAGGTGTGTCAAGGAGAACCTCTAGTACAACATAAGGAATTAGACGAAGCATGAGACAAAGAACAAAAGAAAGTCAAATGAAGGACAACATAGATTGAAAGACACGTCAGACAGAGAATAAAGTTTTTTCACCTGTAATGTTGACCAGATTAAGGGAAAAGTCAAAGTACT